TGATGTATTATTTCATGTTATCTCTGACAAAGCATATGATGTATTTTGCTTTATAAAGGACATGCCGTCCCGCCAGAATAAACATTCTTCAAGTTTTTCATGCACGCATTATTTCTTTAATTTGGCCGGGGGCAGATACGCAAGATAATCAATTTATTGATTGATTTCCACATCACCTGGGATAAAGATCTATGTAAAAAAAAAAAGAAAATGAGAGAGAGAGAGAGAGAGAGTGTGTGTTTGCAATGCTCCATAGATCCTTTTGTTAGGGGAATTACAAAGAGACAAAAACAATCTACAATTTCATAAAGATGCCATTTTCACCCTGTTTGCCAGGTAACAAAGATCCACAGGTGATGTAGAACTACAACTATCATTATGCTTTTTCCAGCCTTTAGAAAAGCATCATGGCGGTTGCAGTTCTGCATCTGGGGATCTATAGTTGCACACCCCTAGCTTAGAACCTGTGGAGTTATTCAATAGGACGTTTTATATCAAATGATGCCTGTCAGCAATTGTGTGTTAGATTGCGATTGTGTCCTACAGTCATAGGCGTGCGCAGCTATTGCATTATGGTGTTCTCCCTAAAGCACAAGCACACACCGCGTTTATATATATATACATATATATATATATATATACATATATATATATATATATATATATATACACACACACACATACACTGCTGTGTGTGTGCGTGCTTGTGAGGGTGCTGGTAGTGTGCTATGTGGGTGAGGGTGTTTGTGCGCTTGTGAGGGTGCTGTTTGCATGTGAGGGTACTGGTAGTGTGCTGTGTGTGAGTTTGTTAGGGTCCTGTTAGTGTGCTGTGTGAGGGTGCTGTTTGTGTGTGTGAGGGTACTGTTAGTGTGCTGTGTGTGTTTGTGAGGGTGCTGTATGTGTGTGTGTGGGTGATGTGTGTTCTGTTTGTGTGCTGTATGTGTGAGTATGCTGTATGTGTGTGTGTGCTGTATGTTTGGGTGATTTGTGGGGGTGGAGGTGGGGGCAGATTAGTTAATAAATATCCCCCCTCTCTTCTTACCTTATGTAGGGAGGGGAGACCGTGCTGCTGCCTTCCCTGGTGGAGGTGGGGGCAGATTACTTAATATCCCCTCTCCCTTGTTACCTTATGCCAGGGAGAGGGGATCCTTTCTGCCTTCCCTGGTGGTCCTAGTGGTGAGATCTGAGCATTGCCACGGCAACGCTCAGATCTCGCGAGAGGAACCTGGCAGAGCTGCTGGCAAGAGCTCCCCGGGTCCTCTCCTGTCTCTGTGGGTCGGTGAGGGGAGGCTTAGAGCAGAGCCGGGGCTCGGATAGCGCCGGCTCTGCATGGGCAGACAGCTGAGATCCTGAGTTTCCACAAGGCTATACCTGCTTTGTGGGGGACAGCATCATCTGGCCTTTTACCCAACCTAGAGAAGAAAATGACAATGGCACCAAAACCACACTTTACTACTGAACAGTGTCATGCTTTTTAAACTATCTGCAATGTTCGTTTGAACTTTCACGAACTGTTGTAAGGGAGTCTGCTCTTGTATTTAGTCTTAGAGCTTATAATGTACCTTGAGCTGCATTCCCAAACAATCCATGCTTCATGACTGGGGCCAAATGCACCAAATATGGGCTTGCCTTTGATCACAAGGACCTGGGCCTGTAAAGGCTCTCATGCCACATTTCCACCCAACTACAGGGTAGCAGTGGATCATTTTTGGACACTTTACATTTCACTCATTGTTACTGGGTTAATTCCCGTGAGTTTAATTAGTTTGGCAATATGTCTAAGTTTAATGGGTTGTTATGTTTTTGAGTAGGAACATGCTTGAGGCTTGCCCCCTTCAGCCAGCCTATGCTTTAAAACAACCAAGGGTACCCGGTACCATCTGATTATAGTCATGCTTATATAGTGAGAGTAGTGAGGAGGCTCACTGAACTGTGCCTTGAAAGAAAGCTTAGAAGCTGACATTTTAAAGTGGCACGGTCATCTCAAACTTACCTTTCTCCCATTGTTTCCTTTTCTCATCCTCTTCCAGAATCTGTTCTTTTTTTTTAATTTCTGAGCTATGTCTCATTCTCTTTAAAACATAAGACTGTTTTATTTATTTTAAGGGGATGATGAAAACTTTGCTCGCGATAGCTGCAGATCTATTTGCCAAAAATCCATAATTCTGAAACTCTAAATGAATGTTTTACAAAAATGTTTTTATATATATATATATATATATATATATATAAAAAGACAATGGACAAAATGTTATGTTTAGTGATTCAGGGTTTTGTATGTGAAAATATTGATAGTTAACCTACTAAATGCTGATTTTCAAGTGAGAAGTTACTAAAAGAAGGTTAGTGTAGGACTTGCCAAAGATGGGGTACATTGACGTTGTGGCAGGCTTATGCAATGTATGATCATATAATGTAACTAAACCCCCATTATTTTTGCCTAGATTAGGTGTTTTTAAAAAAAACTAATAAAATCTTTCAACATTGAAGTTGCTGTTTAGTGGATAGGTGAGTGCGCTGGATCTTGTGTTTTATATATATATATATATATATATATATATATATATATATATATATATATATATATAAAAAAGACAATGGACAAAATGTTATGTTTAGTGATTCAGGGTTTTGTATGTGAAAATATTGATAGTTAACCTACTAAATGCTGATTTTCAAGTGAAGTTACTAAAAGAAGGTAGGACAAAAAAAAAAAGCAGAATTTTTTTATAAATATAAATGTTATACTGTAATACAGAACACGTATGTAGCGGATGGTACTATGGCTGTCCTTAAAGACTTTGATGATACTGCAATTCGTGTGTTATTTCTTCTGTATAGTTAAATTGTAAGTAGGATTCATGTGATTGTTCGGTAGTTTCCATCCGTATTCCAATGCGAATGGAAACTACCGAACCAATAGACCACCCCAGAGTGAAGTGTGTCCCTCATTAGCTTTGCACTTCTCTTTAACCGCAGATTAATAGGTACTTTATGTATGTATCTGGGTGGCCGCCGATCGGCATACGAACACGTGGCGGCGGCCATCTTACACACGAAAGGCTCAGTGGTGTTTGGTCGTCGAGTGTCTGGAACTCAAATCGGACACTCAATTACCCGAACACCGCTGAAACCTCAAGAGCTCCGTAACTCCCATATGGGAAGGCTAATCAGCCCCCCGTACGGTAAGTTTAAAGTACCAAACTAGGGGATTCATACGAATGTGATATTATTCGTGGATGGCAGTTTTTTAAGTGTGTTTTACCTCCCGAAAAGAGACCGACCGCAGGGCCAAAACACATGGAGCCCTTTTCGGATACTACCTTGTGTGCGGTCGGTCAAATTACACCCTCCACCTAACTCCCGAACCCCTGGTCTGCTCTGGGTGAATTTTGGATATGTTAGTCACCCAGATCAGGGCTACCAGGGGGTACTCAAAGTATTGGTGTATCTGCTGATCTTAGGGTACATCCAGAACTTGGGGAAAACTACAGCCTGTGTAATGGGATTAAGTGTCACACTGGGGGGAGGAGATGTGTGGGAGGTAACTGTTACACCATTGGATATTGTACTGATTAATGTGAATCCCTCCCTTGCATGGGAGAATGCTTTAAAAGGAGGTTGTGTGGAATAAAAGTTAGTTCTGCTTCTGATGCTGTGTGTCGTCCAGTCATTGGGATCTGTATGGGGATATTCGTGGATTACCTTGTTGGCTGGAATTATTACTTTATGGGATTTTTCATCACTTGTTCCTGAGCCTCACTGGGATCTTTAGTGGAGTTAACCTGTGGAATAACAGGCCTCCGCTACAACGTATATCACGCATACATATTGACATATACTAATTGACCAATCTTCACACCATTTTGTACAGTTTTCCCCTAAACACTTGCATAGACAAAAGTCATCTGTACTGAAACGACATATGATGACACCTGAAACGAACATTTTTCTTTTCACGGAATTGATTCCGCCAAATCAAGTCTAAGACCTCCTAGTAGGTGCAGAGAACAAAAACCAAACAGAAAACATAAAAAGACAAAAGAAAACAGGATAAAAGTGCAAGCACAAAAAAAAATGTTTATTGCTATTTTTGTTCTAAATTTTACTTTTAAAGGAGCAAGCTTCATTACGAACAGATTAGATCTTTGGTAAAGACACTGCAACTTGCAAGACTTTTGTTAGAAGGAAAGGGTGCTGTTCCACAGGTTCTCCCTGCACAGGTCATATCATTTCAACCATTGCTCCAGACACATTTACCCATAATATTCCTATTTGCTTTGAAAGCCACTGAATTCTGTGACACATAAAATCAGACGTATATGCTTGAGAAATTTAAATATTCAGGCAAAAAGCAAGCCATGAATTATCTCGAGTCACAAACCACTGCAGAGACATTTGTTACGGTCTTCCCCACCCCTTTGTTAAAGTCATTGTGTTAGGAGTACCTGTATGCTTCCCTCTATGATTTGATCATATAAATTAGATTGAGTGTGTCACCAAAGTTAAATGTAATGTGATGTGATAGGGGGCTAGTCCGATTGAAAAAGTATTGTGTGTTAGTTCCATTGGGAACTGTATGTCCTGTGTGGTTTGTTCAAGGCTCCCAGTAACAGTCTTTGGACCTGTTGGCTGGCTGTTTTGTGCTGGGTTCCCTGGACAAGTTTTTATAAAAATAAATAAATAAATAAATAGAAAAAAAAAAACTTGGCTTGAGATCCACAAGTGCTTTTATAAAGGCTCTAGCTGGAGACACCATAGGCAGTGGTGTTGATACATGCCTGGCTGAAGATGATTGCAGCTTGGTTAAGTGAAAGATGTCCTCAGCAACCCCAGTCAAGCTTCGGCAACTGTGTGTGAAGAGCTTCAAGGTCCCTGATAGCAGCTAGCAAGCAGACATGGTGGAGGTACTTATCTGGAATACGGAAGCTCTGTCATAAACACATTTAACGTTTTACATAAAATTGAGAAGACCTTAACATTGCGTACAAGTAAACATGGTTTGGTGTGGCCTAGGTTTCATTAAAGTTCCACAATGTATAGAATGCTATTTTTAGGATCAATTAAAGAAGCACTCTAAACCAAATAGCTATTAATTGTTCATTGTAGTTTTTATTGTGAGATCAGTCTTATTGAATTTCTACCAAGCTGACCACCGTGCTCCTTTGCACCTATAGATTATCTCCCTAGCAGCTGGACTGATGATGTAAAAACTCCACTGACCCTTGTAGGGCAATAGTAGGCTGAGTATCCAGGGGGCAGGTTAACCATTTGACAGAAAACTGGATGGCTGCAAGAGGTTCATACCATCATAACCATTATTATGCATTATTGCTTCCCATTTGTGAACAATAACCAAGAACCAGATACAAATATGTCAGTAAAGAGTAAAAATGCTGCATGGCGAACATGGTAGCAGGTTCTTAGGTACATAAAGTTGTGTATACCTTACTGTCCCAGTTCAAAGTCACAAATAACACACCCACCTCAAGACTTGCCAGGGCTGTTGAGCAAGTGTTCCAAGCCCTAGAGGCATGTCAGTAAAATTCCAAGTCGCAGTGAATATTTAATGAAGGCGTTTCTTGCTCTCAAAACACACATGTACTCAATGTACGAAAGGAATGGTGCTGGATTCAAATTTAACTCATTTGAGACGTGCAACCACAAAAACCATGTCAATTGGTAGATGCACTCTAAAATGTACACTTTCTGATTAATACTAATCACAATGCATTCATATTCAGAACAGAAGGACTGACCTGAATCCTTTACAAAAAAATAAATAAAAAAAAATATACACACACACACTCCATATCTAAAAAAATAAATAAATAAAATAAATAAAATAAAAAAAATAAAATAAAAAAAATGAAAAGCCTTGCACTCCAGCTTAGTTATTTGACCTGGTGATTGACTGCACTAAATGTATGATTTTTTTTTTTTTTAAATCAGCACTCCCAGGTAGCTTTCTTATACTAAAAAGTGTAACAGTCAATGTTTCAGTAACTTTCATCAGGACAACCTGATGTGGTTGCCCTGATGAAAGTTCCTGAATGGAACTGAAACGTTGACTGTTTTTAGTAAAATAAGTTCCTAAGAAAGCTACCCGGGAGTGCTGATTTTATTTCTCTCTCTCAAAAAAAAAAAAAAAAAAAGTTTACTTATATATTTGTCTGCTATTGTGTCAGTTTGCAGTAGATGGCAAAGTGTAGTTGTCATTTGTGTTACCAAATGTGCTGTGGAATGTTTGTACTATAAATAAATAATAGCTAGGCACACACATAGGTTGTTTTACATTGCTAAGTATTGTTCACAGAGCTGGCATATTTAAGCCATATTTTAATCACTAACTTATAGAACAGAGGACATTTGAAATCTTTCCAACTGTTTAACAAGAAATAATATCCACAACACATGGTTTAGGCAATATCACAACTTTAGCAAATTGCATACAGAGGCATTGGCTGACAAGGGGGTGCAGAAAAGACCTATCACGGGAGGTCCTTCTGCCCCGATAAGCATAGAAACTGTGGTTGCTATGGAAAGTCCTTGGCACACTTTGTTCAGACGACAGCACACTGACAAGAATGACAGCATGCCAACATCACTAAGGAGGTTTGTCCTGCTTGGGGAAAGAAAAAGTATATTTACATTTAGATTCAGGGGATCAGAAAATTACGTATATTTGTTGTTTGGTGCATGTATACCAGGATGACATACTGCTTTGGCCAACCCTGACCCATCCAGACGGGCCACCAATTTTGAAAATCACAAGCACACCATCATAGGCCAGGCCAGGCCACCCCTGCCCGGACTTCAGAGCTCCCAAATTTAGGAGGTTTAGGTTGTATTTAAAGAATAATTCTAGGAAAGTACTAAAATAGTGCAGTCTGTAAGCCCATTCAGTTGGATTCCATGTTGACTGCACTAGATTAGAAAGTTTCTTGATAATTGCTCCCATAAAGGCCATATCTGGTTCCATGAGTATCCGTTGGGGTTAGGGATTGTGTATGTCTAAGTTTAGAGTTAGTGTAATGTAAGCATATGGTACATTACATATGACTAGATGGTATAGAATTGGGTAAAGGTATAGGGTTAACATTATCTAACAAAAAATTATTTGGATCCTAGCCATACAAGTCATTTAACAAATCAGGACTGGTACATTAATCCATTGTGTCTTTTTATATTCTTTATTTTTGATAGTGTTAGATAATGACATTCCACAAGAGTATAAGTATAAACATTGCATAGGCGGAAAGTTGTTCGGAAATGTCAGCATACAGCACATTTAAAATATATGAGAGCCAGGTTTAGGAAATACATGTCGGCAGAAAACTGTAGGAGAAAACTTCAGGGTGCGTATACTGACACGAGGATGAGCTATTATTACCATTGGGTTGGGAATCAAGTAATGAGGAAAATAAAATATGAGTTAAGTAGCACAGTGCCAGGTTTATGCAGAATGTCTGGCCGCTCAACCGATGCTCGTGGATGGGAGGCTATGGACATTGGGAATTGAGAGTTCGTTGAGGCATTGATGGCAAACCCACCATTCGGATCACCACGATGCAGGCCTTGCCAAGCTGGAATCCACTGACAACGCAGGATTATTTGGCATCCTCGAGATCCGGGTGGGGACCTGTCCATGGGGCGCCACGTTACGTGTGCCAGTTGCAGCCCCCGCGCTCTTCTCACCTCCACTCAGTGTTTGTAATGGTCTCCTGCGCCTCTTTCTCAGAGTCATCCAGCATTGGCCACATGAGCGACGGCTGGCCACATGGCATCGAGCTGCTGGCTGGCTCCTGGATGCACTGCTGTGGCTGATGGAAGTAGAGGTGGGTATCTGAGCCCTAACCTTTGCCCAGAATTGGGCACAAAAATCTGTTAAAGTCCTGGAGTAGCTGGTCAGCGTGGATGAGCAGCTCCGGTTAGAGACCAAGATCTGCGGGGCTATTCCCGGAGGACATCTTAAATCCGTAGGTCTCAGTTTCCTACGATACTGTATTATGCCGTTTGCAGTAATATGCTACGAGAGGGTGCCAGTGGGGACTGTGATAGCCCCCAACGGTCGGGCTTTTAGTCCGATACTTGTCAGACCCAGGCAGAGGATCGGCCACCTCCTCCACCTCAAGTGCTCCTGAAGGCCGCAAAGGAAGCCTTACATGGCTTATGCACGTCAGAATCAAGCACAACTTATGCCAAGGTGCCTCATAGTAAGAGTAAGCAGGTTTGTGCCAACAGTGTAATAATACAGTTCAGATTTTAGGCTTAGTATGAGGATTTCCCTCAGGAGCTCCAGCAATTTGCAGCCATCTTGGATAGTGATCAGGCCCCGCCCCCTTGTGTCTTTATTTAGTTGCACTTGCTGCGTAAAAATTATTTCCCCCAGGTTTAACATTTTTCCATACTTGGAGTACTAAACAAAACACATAGCAATATCTGAACCAAAACAAAAAAACTTAGAAAGTATGCTAAGCACCTGTGTCTTTTTTTACCCCTTTTACTTTAAAGTACCATTGTGGTCCATGGATAGGGATCTATGTGCATGACCGCTTCTCTATGTAAGCCCTGGAGGCACACGGTACTGCTGTCGCCATCAGTTCCTATCTAAAGCCTTCATTAAATGATGGAATTAATAAAAATCAGTCAGGCCCATTATATGTTAATTAAAAGGTTTTATTGGCATGAGTAATTTACATTTAGATTCAGGGGATCAGAAAACAAATGACAAAACAAGTCTACAAAGTTACACTAAATGGATTACATACACCATAAAAGATAAGTTTGCTCCTGAAACATGGTAAAATCAATTAAAAATATACATTTACAGAGGATTTTCAAGAGCTAAAAGTCCATGAAGTCTCAAAACAGAAACCTCCAGAATAGGATAGTGCTAGTGGTTTGTATGTTAAATTCATTTGTGATGGGGTGATATTTGCCTTGTTCACATACAATCTCTCTCAAAATCATTTTGGCAGCAGCAAATAGGTTAAACAGCCTTTATACATTCATTTACATACAGAAGAAGTACATCTAAGCACAACAACCCAAACTATGCCTCCAGATAGAGATGGAGTCTACAGCAGAAGATTCCAACTGTAAAATAGATTTATAAATAAACGTAGTAAATGGCAAATTGTGTAATATAGAGCAGTGTTAAAATTCACAGTTCATAGCACATATGGAAAAACAAAGTAGTAAAGTTCATGTTAGAAGATTAAGAAGAGTTTGAGCATATAAATTTATATATATTTTTTTTTTTTTTTTTTAAATAACTTTTACAATTCATTGAGAAACTTATTTTGCCAAGATTTGTTCTCAGCTGTGGCATAGTAAAAGTTGACTTATGACTGGTGGTACAGTACTGCACTTGGTATGGCTATAGAGTATTTGCGGGAAAGGGACAGACAAAACAAAAAACCTTCCAAGTAAGCATAAAGATTAAAAATAATTAATGATATATTCAAAGTATTGTAATATCTAAACTATTTCAATTGAAACCCATTTTAAACACTTAAAGATATATACACAACAGATATTTTGCAGCTTTAATATATAAAAAGGGGCAGCATACAGTTTCAGAATGACAAAAAAGAGTTTGTGAAATTGCTAACTTTCTTTAGCAATTTGCTTCCACTACATCATAAAGGGTAAGGCAATAACGCCTGAATTAAAACTGTGCTTCACAGAGTCAAAATGAGTCCAGTGATTCTGTCAGTGCAATCAACCACTATTCACATTCAGAACAAAAGTGCTATTAAAAAGAAAAACACTGTCAATGTAACCTTTCCGGCAACCATTCCAATGCAACAGGAGGTTTTTACATGACCACAGATCCTATTCCTTAAGAATACCAAGTTTTTTTAAAGCTTCCTTATGGTGTTCATCAGCAGATCCCTTAGGAGTAATCTTGACAGTGGTGACAGGAGCAGCAGGGTTAGAGCGCCTGGAAAATAAGTGACGACGGCCCTCTGTAACTTCTGCCTCTGTTGGAGGGGGTTCCATTCCAATAAAGTCTTTTCCAGTGCCTAAGGAAGCAGGACGAGGCCTGGAATTCCGCAAGAAGTTGCCAGAGAAAAGTGGTTTTTTGAAGAAAGAGTTGCCTCCTTTTTGAACCTGGCCATCAGTATTTGGAATGGAGCTGCTGAGACCAATACCTGAACGCTCCAATGTATTTGATTTAATATTAATTTGCCTTAGGCCAGGCACTGAGCTTTGAGGAAATCTTAGGACTTGCTCACCAGAAGGTTCAAAATGAGTGCTATGTCTGTTTTTATCAGGCGTTTTACTTTTTCCTTCTCTTAATACAACTTTAGGACTGGTGGAGGAAATTGATACTTCTTTCGGCCTTGGAAAACTAAATGTTTTGCCAGGACTGGTACTCATTAAGTGTACATTTTCCAAAGAACCCTCTTTGATTTTCTTATCTGAAAGTTTGTCGGGTTTGGTTTGAAGCTCAGGTGTAGTTGCAGAAAAATGGTGCACTTGCTGCCCTTCATTTGCTTTCTCTTGGATATTTGATTTCAGAGTAGATGAGCTTCTATTGATGTCCACTTTTCCATTCTTGAAAGACCCATCGTTTTTTCTAAGAACTTCTTTAGGAAGATGGGCAGGTCCATCCACATTATCATCTACCTTTACCTGGGGAACCATTTTCACACTAAATTTGTTTCTACTTATTTCATTATTTCTTACACTACTGGGAGAGCCTTCATTTATGGAAGTACTAACCCCAAGCTCATCTGCCTTCTCCAAGGAGTTAGATTTTCCACTTAATCTTCTTTTACCCAAATCTTCCTTCACAGCAACATTGTCATGTCCAATCTGAGCAGAAAGAGCTGATGATTGCACAGGGCTTGTTCCATGCAGATTAGGTTTTTCTTGTTGATTGAGGTTTACACTCTTTCCATATGTATCTTTGTGACTATGCGACATCGGTCCCTGAGAAACTGAAATCTCTTTGGTTTTGGTTGGCACATGTAATTTGCTAGCGGCATTATCATTGGTACTTTCCTTTTCTTGCAACAAACCCAGCTTCTTTAGAGCTTCCCGTCGTGCCCCTTCTTGCTCCTTAGAATGTGGAATCTTTGTATGGATGGACTCCCCACTTTTGTCCATATTCCTTTCATGTGCTGAAAAGGTTCTTGGCCTCTGTTGCGGCTCAAGATTTTGTGCCACCCCACCCCCAGTACTAGGTTTTATAACTATATGTGGTGGCAGTTTGCGAGGCTTGGGTGCTGTGGGCGGGCCCTGCTTGAATTGTCCATCGCCATTTTTTTCTAAGGAAGCATTGAGTGCTTCCTGTGAGTGAGCAATCAATGGATTTGAAGACAAAGGTTTTGGAGATACTGGTGGTGTTACTTTGGTATTAGAATACCCAACAGCAGGTGGGGCCTCTTTATGTCCAGAAGTTACTGAAAATTTTGGAAAGAATCTTTCATACCGTGCTTCACGAGCATCTGTTGGATCAGTAACAGAACGCCTCTTATCGACAAACTGAGGATCTCTGAAAGGCTCAGGTGGTGGCAATAAGAGGAGATCTGAAATGGAATCGTCTTTATCTCGACTAACAGAAGTCAAACTTCTTGGTTTACCATAAAGAGATTTCTCCTGATCTAGATTGGGTCCTGTCAGCACAGATTCAGCTGAATACTTTGAAACATCCTCCTTCAGTGGCTGAATGATTCTTGGGAAGCTGTGGTATCCTTGCCTAGGTGGGATGATTTTATTTAAATCTACAGACACACGATCACCTTTTTTCTCCTCTATTTTAGGCAGAGTTGTGCTTTTTGGTAAGGTTTCCCTATCACCTGTAATCAAAGAAAAAGAACAAATGTAACTTAAGATTGGATTTAAACATATGCAGTTATTGTAAAAAAATGGCCAAGATTTTGATTAATTTTGTTAATAAATATGGATAAATAGATTGTGTATGCAGGAGCAGTAAGTCAATGCAGATATGCCAATGTTTACCTTCTACAGAATACAAAAGCAGTAAAGTGTTGAGTTTTCTTTTTTTTTTATTCCATGGGCAATGCATTTTGGTTTTTCACATGATATATACATTAATATAACGATTTTGGATGTACCTGGATACATACATAAGGGGCAGAACATGAGAAATCCACCATTTATGTGTCTTGCTCCCCCTTAGCCCTGATCTGCCTCCTCGCTGACATCAAAATTTATAATTTCGGCAAGGAGACAAGACGGGAGAGGAGAACAATGGTGGCCAGTCAGCATTTCTTGCATTTCTAAGAGGAATGTTCAGGAGATGCTGCAGCACTGCCCCAAAAAGCACCTCCAGTGGCCATCTGAGGAGTGGTGTCCCTAGGTAGCAATGTAAATGACTGAAGAGAATGATCATACTCACCAGAACAACTACATTAAGCTGTAGTTGTTCTGAAGACTATAGAGTACCTTTAAGGTTTTTGGTTTTTTTTTGGGGGGGGGGGAGGGTTTTAATAAAAAAAGTTTACCTGGACTACATGGAAAGGACCAAATATACACATCAGATGCATATCTGCATTCATCATTAGGAAAATGTGCTGCACCTCATTTAAACAATGTAATCAAAGCTTTTGGCAACAGACTTAATTAATCTAATACAAAGTGGGCTGCCATAAAAGGGGTAAGCAATGCTGTGTCTATGCTCACTAGCCTCCAACAGAAACACACTGAAAATCAGACACAAAGTGGGCTCTTACCAGACCAAATTGACAGCTCCCTTATACATAACCTCTGACACCGTGGGAGGATGAGAGGTCATCACTTCCACCAGATGATCAGGATGCCATGTAGATGTTCAAGTAGAGCTGGCAGATTGATCCAGCCTGATCCCTCCAGAACCCAGAGAAGCACCCAAATTAGGCAAAAACAATGTGTTTGTAATTATGCATCTGTGTCCGCGTGCATTTGGGAATATGTTTGTGTCCGTATATGCACATTTTTTAATTATATACCTGTGTGTGTGTATGTGTTTCAGTATCCTGTGA